CTGGATAGCAGCAGTGGAGCATCTACACACGCCCACACGCAAAATTATTTTGAAATAACAGAACTGCCGCGTAGACGCTCGTATTGTTATGTTGGAATAACAGCCCTTATTCCAAAATAACTTTGCTGTGCAGATGCACTCTAAGGTGCCACAGGACTCCTCGTTGGTTTTGCAGTTACAGACTAACATGGCCGTCCCTCTGAGGCTAGTAAAAATGCTCCTCCCGGTTGCTCAAAGGACCCAGCCTGCTGCCCCACAAGGGAGCTGCTCACTGGTGGACTTTGGTTAATACACTACGGTGTGGGGATAGTTGCAAGATTAGTCCCAGTGGCCCAATAGGGCAGTTCATGGTCTGTACCTGTAGTTGCATAACAAGAGGGTATTTTGCACAGGAGAGGCAGCGTGGTTCGGTGCAACAAACACAGAGCCGGGCAGGAGGGGTCTGAAAACACCTTCAGCTAACCCCAACTCACCACTAACTCCCTTTCCCTGATGGCCAGCAGAACACGGAAGCAGCAGGGACACGGGGGGAGACGCCAATGGATGGGGGCAGATCGGCACTGTGGAACATAAGGACGGCCATATTGGGTCAGACCAATGGACCTTCTAGGGATGTAAAATATCGGTTAATTGAATAGTCGATTAACCTCATGAATTCTTATCAGTCGACTATTCTACAATCCCCAGGGGTGGGCCAGCAGCCCGTGAGCTTCGGCCTCATTCCCGAGGAACCTCCTGCCACCCTGCGCCAGTTCACAAGGGGAGCCAGTTTAAAAACCAGCTGCTTGTTGCCCTGTGCTGCTGCCTCTGATAAAGAGGGGTCTGAGCTCCCAGACCCAGTGTGAACCAGAACTGAGTCTGGCTGCCTGCCCACCCGGCTCCTAATACACTTTAAATGCAGAGTCACAGCGGGGGTGAATCCGGTGCAAGGTGGGACTGAGCCGGGCTGCTGGACAGCCTGCTAATAAATGTACTGGCAGGGGTGGGGGGGGAAGGAGAATGCGTGTAGTCTATAGCATTAACCAATGAGCTTTTGCTGATCAGTTAATCGACTGCACTGTTACATCCCTAGATCCATCTAGCCCAGTAACCCGTCTTCTGACGGGCTGGTGCCAGAACAACTACTGAGTGAGCCATCCCCTGCTCTTCACTCCCAGCTCCTGGCGGTTAATGGTGCGCAGAGCATGGGGCTTTTTCCCTCACCACCCTCGCTAGCAGCCGTTAAGGGACCCATCCCCCAGGAACGGACTTTTGTTGAACTCTTTTGTACTCTGGCCTTCACAACATCCTTTGGCAACAAGAGCCAGAGGCTGACTGGGCACTGTGTGAAGAAATACTTCCTCAAAGGTCGACTGGGCACTGTGTGAAGAAATACTTCCTCAAGTTTGTTTTAAACCTGCTGCCTATTTCACTGGGCCATCGCTGGTTCTTATGCTATATCAAGGCCTAAACACGACATTCATTTTCTTCATGCCACTCATGATTTTATTGACCTCTCATATCTCCCCTTGGCCATATCTTATGCAAGCCAAACAGTCCCAGTCATTTTCATCTCTCCCCATATGCAAGGTATCCCCTGCTCCTAATCGTTTGTCTTGACTTTCTCTGTCCTATTTTAAATTCTAGCATCACTTGGCGATGAGGTGACCAGCCCAACCCACAGTATTCAAGGTGTGAGCGTACCATGGATTTATATAGAGACCACATGGTATTTTTTGTTTTATCAGTCCCTTTCCTAATGGTTTCTAACTTTGTTTGCTTTTCTGACTCCTGTTGCGCGTTGAGTGGATGTTTTCAGAGAACTGGTGAGGAAAAAGTGAATAAGGAAAAATTATTTACTTATTCTCACAATATAAGAACTAGGGGTCACCAAATGAAATTAATAGGCAGCAGGTTTAAAACAAACAAAAGGAAATTTTTTTTCTTCTCAGCACATAGTCAACCTGTGGAACTCCTTGCCAGAGGATGAGGTGAAGGCTAGGACTTTAACAAGGTTCACAAAAGAGCTAGATAGATTTATGGAGGTTAGGTGCATCAATGGCTATTAGCTAGGATGGGTAGGAATGGTGTCCCTAGCCTCTGTTTCTCTGGAAATTGGTGACAGGATCACAAGAGGATTCCCTGTTGTGTTCCCTCCCTCTGGGGCACCTGGTGCTGGCCACTGTCAGCAGACAGGACACAGGGCTAGATGGACCTTTGATCTGACCTAGTCTGGCCATTCTTATGTTCTTAATGTCAAGATCTCTCGAATGGTAATTTAGACCTCATCGTTGTGTAGGCTAGTTGAGATTATTTTTCCCATGTTCATTACTTTGCATTTATCAACACAATTTCATTTTGTGGCCCAGTCACCTAATTTTGTGAGATCTCTTTGTTAATTCTTAAATGTTTGTATCATCTGCAAATTTGGCCACCTCCCCGTTTATCTGCTTTTCCAAATCAACTGTGGTTTTGGGATCTAAAGAGCAGAGAAAAGCCCTGGAGTTCTAGTAGAAAATAGCCCCCTGTCCTCCCATACCTGGAACTCCCCAACCCCAAGACACGATCCATAGCCTTCTCGTCACGCTCCGCTGCGTCCCGTTTACAGACCTCAGCCAGATCCTAGGGAGGAATAGTTCAGAAGTCAGTCCATGGAGCTGCACAATTAACCACACCCGAGCATTACAAGAGCCAGTGACACCGATTTCTCCAATGCTGTGGTTTCCACAGTCCAGGAGCCCGCCTTGAGAGAGCCCCGGTGACCCACCTGTCCCCAGACTAATAGAAACAGGAACAAGTTCTCAGTCGACTAGACCACATAGCCCAACTCTCACCACCTCTTTTCACAGATCTCAATGCACTTTGCAAAGACAGGCCCCAGCGTAACGGTGGGCAGACCAAACAGTCTCACTGAAGACAGAGCACAGGAATATACCCCTATTCCGCCTGTGGGATGTTTGGCTCCAGAGGCGGGGTTCGATCAGCTACGTTCAGAAGGGGCAACCCGCATTGACCTATCTAGACACATGGAAATGCAGCTTCCCAGGGTATTTTCAGGAGTCCCCTGCTCCTCCCTTCCCCTTTCCTTTCCTGTCGGGCACCAGCTGATCGTCACTCAGCCCAGGGAGTGCTTATGTTCGAGGGCTGCTGTCTGTGCCCCATACACAGTTGGCAAAGAGCAGGGGAAACTCCTAGGATCCAAAGGGAAACATGTAGCCCTGGTACTCTGATAAGCCTACAAAATGGCTGCAGGCCAGGCAAATCTCTGAGGGGTCAGGTGAGTGAGCGTGGCCAGGAGGAAAAGGGGAGGGGAGTGTCAGGATATCAGGGGTCTATTCCTGGTATCTACTGACACGCCAGGCCCGTCTATGCCTCTCCTATCCACTGCCTGCCTTGTCAGTTCAGACGTAAGCTCTCCCGGCACCGTCAGAGTGTCACGAATTGCCGGATTCGCGCACTGTCCCTGCTGGAACGCTGCCAATCCGCTGTTGGGGGCTGGTCAAGCTTTGGGAGGAGCAGCGACAGTGCGGGGACGGAGCGTGAATTTGTGGACTCGTGGCACTCAACGTGCTTGGAGGGAAAGGGAGGAGCAGGTAAGCATGGAGCTCCAGTGCCACCGTGTGTTGGAGGCACATGCGGGAGGATGCCGAGAGGGGGTATACGGGTCGCATGCAGCCCACTGAGATGAAGGAGGGCCACTCACGTAGCCCGCTCATTAATGTTGGTTGCCCATTGCTGTACTAGACACTGTTATATAAATTAGGCCCTGAATGCATGGCCACGGAGCACTGTAATACCAGAGCAATCCACGGGCAGGACACGGGGAGGTCAACTCTGTTTAATACATTTCCCATGGATCCTTCACTCCCATCTCCTTACAACATCCTACTCATCACTGCAGTTTCATAAAGGCAGAGACTGAAAGGTAGCACGTCCCAAAGCAGTGTGTCTTCAGTGCCACCAGACGGAGGGGGTGGCTGGCAAAACCATCTCACTGGCAAAACCAACCGAGCTACAAATAATCGCTTCCCACCAGCATGTGCGGCGTTTGATTTTAGCTCTCCCAGACCCCAAGATCCTGAACTTTAAAAAAATTGCCTCATTCTGGTTACCATCTTTAAATATAATGGAGATTGCCTATCTCCTAGAACTGGAAGGGACCTTGAAAGGTCATTGAGTCCAGTCCCCTGCCTTCTCAGCAGGACCAAGTACCATCCCTGATGAATTTTTGCCCCAAATCCCTAAATGGCCTCCGCAAGGATTGAACTCACAACCCTGGGTTTAGCAGGCCAATGCTCAAACCACTGAGCAATCCCTCCTCCTTGGGCCTGGTTCTGACCTGATCTAAGCAGCAGCTGCCTCCAAAACCAGCTATCCCAAGGGAAGCCGTTTTGAATCCCAACCGTCGCCTGGTACAAACATGGCTGTATCACGGACGTTCATGAGATGCTGACTATTTAAGCCGTGCCAGATTTAGGACTTTCCTACGGCAGAGGATTTAATTTGGATTAAAACAGGGTGTGAATTCAATCGCTATTCCTGATGAGCTCCCAGTGTGGATGCTCTTATTTTGGAATAATGCGTGTCTGTTTGGTGGAAAGCACTTTACTTCAGAGTGTCCCTCAAGGAAGTTAATCAGGATTAAGTGTCCCAGACTGTCCTTATGTGGACAAGCCTTTAGGTTGGGCAGGGAAGCATGATGGTAGCCAGAGTGATCTGTTTTGGGCTGTGGGTTTTTTCCCCACAGCACGGACGTTTCACTTTGGAAGCAGAAGCAGAAATGATTTATGGACCCAGGGAACTCTCTCAGAGCTCCAAAATAAGGATCCCAAATAAGAAAGCATGAAAGGCCATCAGCCAAACCCAAACAGCAGGGCCGCAGGCTGCCTTCGCACTAGGTGGAGCATCACTTCCTGCTCCCTCCCCTCCATCTCCCACAAGGCCCCATCTCACACTTGGGTGCCTCCCTTACCTCTTTGCTCAGGCCTGTGGGCTGTTTCTTCACATTCTTGTAGCCCCTGCGAGACACAAAATCTAGATGGGTGACCAGCGCAAGTGACGGTGGCATCACCTGTTGGGGGAGAGGGGCTGGGAGAAGAAGCGAGACGCCACGGCTGCTTCTCCCTGGGTTGAACCATTGGAAGATCAGCAGGTCACAACAGCAGAGTTGTTTTTACCCCAAGACTGCCAGGGGCTCGCCCAAGAAGTTGGGAAGATTATCCAGCTGAACCTGCTGGAGCATTTGTATGTGGTTCTCAGGCACTGCAGCGACGGGCACCCAGAAATATCAGACATAGCAGGTTGACAAGAGTCCCACAACACTGGAGGGGATGAGTGACTTGTATTAAGACAGTGCCCAGAAGCCCTAATCAAGATCATGGCCTTGTTGCATTCGGGGACGTACACACACATACACAGATGGAAGAACTTACACACTAGGTAGCCACAACAGAGAAACGGTGGGCGGGATGTGTACACACACACACACCCACACACACACACACAGAGGGAAGAACTTACCCACTGGGTAGCCACAACAGAGAAACGGTGGGCGGGATGTGTACACACACACACACCCACACACACACACACAGAGGGAAGAACTTACCCACTGGGTAGCCACAACAGAGAAACGGTGGGCGGGATGTGTACACACACACACACCCACACACACACACACAGAGGGAAGAACTTACACACTAGGTAGCCACAACAGAGAAAAGGTGGGAGAGCAGGCAGAGGTGCCTTGCCCAGCAGCGACTATAGATTTCACAGCAGATGAGCTAAACGCCAACATGCTTTTTAAGCTGCAGTTCTCAATATGTCACAGGGGAGGTCACCGATTAGACTCATTCGCCATGGACTTACAGAGCCGCCATCATGGCCTCCTGCTCGGCCAGCCGGACTGCAGCCAGCTCGGCTTCTCGGGAGATTGGCGCATCACCTTTCTTCCCTTTCGCGTACCAGGTGAGGTCTTTGCCCTTCTGCCACCTGCCCACCGGAGCCATCAGGGAGTTCCCTGCCATTTAGCACAAGACAAGCTATGAAGTGACCTGGAGTGTTAGACGAGTATGAAAAGCCACTTCTAAAACAATGCAACAGAACTAATGATAGATCATGCAGGGCTGATGCACATGGCACAGCACAGGGAGTCGGGAAACCCAGGTCTTCCACTGATCTGCAAGGGGACTGTGGACAAGGCACTTCATTATCCAATGCCTCAGTTTTCCCATCTGTAAAATGGGAATACCGATCCTGAACGTCTTTGTAAAGTGCTGTGAGATCTGCAGGTGAAAAGTACTACGCAATAGCTAAGTCTTGACTTGACAAGGTTGATGGAATAAGTCAAAGGCACTTGTACGTTGACTGATTTAGAGGCTGATCTTTTATTCTGAGGGAAAAAGACAGAGCTAGGCCAGGCTGCCCTGGCCATTCAGCGTCCACTAACAGCTATCAATCATGTCTTTTTTACATTACTGTAGCACTTTTCATCCTTACAGATCCCAAAGGGCTTTGTAACACCGCTGCACTGAAATGCAGCCACATTTGGGGTGGAGGGTGGCAGGCAAACAGCACTGTGAAGAACTGGGGGAAGGAGGCTGGCCAGACCCAAGGGCAAACCAACGCTAACAAGAGTATTATTGAACGAACCTGCAGGGCAAACAGGACCTTCGGAGTTTTTTATTCATATAGAAGCTTTATGCCACCACAACTTCCAAAGTGCTTTAGCAACAACACTGACTGTCTGAATTAGGGATGCTAACTATTGGTTATTTTACTTGTCAAGTAGCCAATGGAATTTCCATAGACTATTGGACTAGTAGTCGATAGGAGGAATGCGGAAGGGGGAAGGGCCTTTCAAAAGTACAAGAGCCCTAGCTGGTGCTCTTGTACATTTCAAAGGAGGAATGCGGAACTCCACGTGCAGCCCAGGCCCAGCTAGAAGTTCCGCTGACTCCGGGCTACTCCGGGCTACTCCGGAGCGTGCCAGCTTTGAAACATACAAGAGTCCGCAGCGGGGGCTCTTGTGCATTTCAAAGCGGCAGCGCAGCAAGGAGCCCGGGGTCAGTGGGGGACTCAGAGCTGACTGAGTCCCCCAGGCTCCATGCAGTGCTGCTGATTTGAAATGCCACGCAGAACCAGAGTCAGCTGGGGACTCCTCAGCTGATCGTGGGCTCCAGCACGGCATTTCCCCCAAAACCAGAGTCAGCTGGGTTCCGCGGAAATGCCGTCCCCAGATGACCCTGAGCACTGCACAGCTGACCCCTGGCTCAGCTGTAGGGCACTGCCACTTTGAAGTATCCCCTTCCCCCGCCCCCCACCTTTGCTGCCTCTATCTGACAGAGGCAGCAATGGGGGAGGGGGGGGGAAATTGACTAGTCATCTCCTCGACTATCTGATAAGCATTTGCTTATCAGATAGTTGACCAGTCCTGAACACCCCTAGTCTGAATGGAGTCCACTTTGCCCAGCACTGAAATTCAGCCATCTTAGTTGCTTGCTAAGGGAAGTGGTAACTTCTCCATCAAGCAGTTTCTTGAAAAGGAGATTGGCTGTCTTTCCAAAAAGAGCTGCTTTAATTCCAAACCAAATAATTGGGTTTCCCGCAGGATTGAGTTGGTGAGGTTACAATAGGAGGCCAGGTTTGATTGTCAGAATGATCCCCTCTGGCCTTAAAAAAAAATCTATGAAACACAAATCTATGAAGACCAGCACAACACAGCATAAGACAAACAGCAACACCATTGCCACATGAATAATATTAACACCGATATTCCCGTGTCCAGTTCCTAGTTGTCACGTGGACATGACAGGGAACAACTGTCACAGCTGGTCCTCCAGCAAAGAGCCAAATACACTATGGAGACCAAATGCTCTCTTGAGCCCATGCTGTGTGTGTCCTACCAGTATACGAAGAACATCAGCCTTCAGGCTGCCTATCAGGTACCATTTGCAAGGGCGGATTTCACACAAGACACTTTCTGCAATGACAAGAGCAACTCTTACCCAGGTAATTCTCCCTCTGTTTATCGGTTTTCACATCCTCCCAGTTGAACTGGTCCTGCCCCCCCCTCACTCCTCCCCTGGATGAGCCAAACATGGTGCGGGAAGAAACAGTCGGCTGCGTTGGAAACGAAATCGATCACCACGGGATGCTCAGCTCTCTGCCCTGAGTCGTCAAGAAATAGAACATACAACAAGATCATCCCAAAGGTTACAGATCACACCCCACAGCCAACTGGCTTACAACAGGCCTGCATCGTGATGGAGGGGGAAAATGTTCAAAGTCGCTAAGAGAGGGACGTTGACTGCTAGAATCGGCATGAATTCCTGCAGCTGACCCGGGGTGCTGTGAATGGCACCTTCCTGTGCCGGCCCACTCCGACCAATGCCTCTGTGGGGATTCCCCCCGAGAGAGCTGGAGGTGGCAGCTTCTGGCTGGCTGGGGTTCCACGGGGATAAAATGAGAGCACCTCCCGTGGGCACCCCCACTTATTGGCCCAGGGTTGGAGAGGCTAAAGCTGTTTTCTGTCATCATGACCTTCCTCAGCCCCTGGGTTTACACTGGCAGAAAGCTGAACCCATCTCACTGGCCACGCAGAGTGCTAGGTGGCCTTGTCCCAGCCGTACAGAAGAGCAAGGCTGTCTCTCAGAGTAGGTGCCCCAGGGCAGACTCCTTACATCAGAGCGGCCAGACTGGGTCAGACCAAAGGTCCACTTAGCCCAGTGTCCTGTCTGCCGACAGTGGCCAATGCCAGGTGCCCCAGAGGGAGGGAACACAACAAGTAATCCTCATGTTAATCCCTCTCCTGTCACCCATTTCCAGACAGCGGCTAGGGACATCATTCCTACCCATCCTGGCTCATCGCCATTGATGGACCTAACCTCCATGAATCTATCTAGCTCTTTTTTTAACCCTGTTAAAGTCCTAATCTTCACAACATCCTGTGGCAAGGAGTTCTACAGGTTGACTGTGCGCTGAGTGAAGAAAAACTTCCTTCAGCCATCTATGCCCTTTGCAAGCTATCCAGAAGCAGGAGGAGCATGAGAGGAAGCAGGTCACATCTAGCAGAATGCAGGAGCTGTGCACCTGGGCAGACCCTCGGTTCTGTGGAGGCAGCATCCTGACATAGGCCTCACAGGGCTCTAGAGCAGGATTTCCCAACATATGGGTCACCATTACATTTCACAAGGGTGGCCAGGTGTCTCCCCAGGTGGCTCTTAAGGAGCTATTCACACATTTTTTGAATTGCCCTGGGTCACCAAGTCTTCCTGAATTGTCAAAATAGGTCCCCATCTGGAAAAGGTTGGGAACCACTGCTCTAGAGGAAGGCAAAACACCCACAGCGCAGCAGGATTTCCCAACATATGGGTCACCATTACATTTCACAAGGGTGGCCAGGTGTCTCCCCAGGTGGCTCTTAAGGAGCTATTCACACATTTTTTGAATTGCCCTGGGTCACCAAGTCTTCCTGAATTGTCAAAATAGGTCCCCATCTGGAAAAGGTTGGGAACCACTGCTCTAGAGGAAGGCAAAACACCCACAGCGCCCTTGACACTGTGGGACGTAATTAACCCCCATTTTAGCATGTACAAATATGGGTATTTTTATACTGCACCATGACCACACACAAGATGCTTTGCAGACTCCTGGAAACAGGAGTTCCCCTCAGCAAAGACCTCACGAGAGACGGGAGCAACACAACCTGCTTTCCCCACAGTCATAAGGAACAAAACTCACTGACTGGGGAGTTCCTCTAGGTTTTCTCTCTCTCTTCATGCAGTGACCAGCCCAGAAGCCTCCCTCCCAATCAACATGCCCAGGGAAAGGTGTGCAGAAGCCTGGCTCTAAATCATTCCTTCCTTTGCATTTCCTAGCTCTCGGCGTTCCTCCAGTGACAGTAACCCACATCTCCCCTCTCGTGGGCCTTTCCGCAGGGCTGGCGCCGCACACGAGTCCAGTGCCAGCAGGCGGAGAGGAAGCGAGTCAATGGTGCCAGGCCCACAGCTGCCTGGCTCTAAGGCAGGCTCCCCTCCCCTCCCATGGGGGCTGGAAGTGGGGGGAGGGTTGCTAGGGACCCCCTGGCCTGGAGCAGTTTCCATTTCACACGACACAGAAAGGGAAATGGCGGGGAAGCAGCCAAATATTCTTCCTGGGATAAATTAAAAGAGGAAATGAATTAGTGTGGGCAACCTGGAAAATACAAAGGTCTACAGAAGAGAACAAGAGAGCGTGCTACACCTATATCAGTCACGAGGATAATTAAAAGGAGTTATATAATTACAGGAGTGAAAGACACCAAAGAAGAACATAGCAAAGGATAAACAAACAAATAAAAAAGGGATTCTACAGAAATATAAAAGAAGCAGGTCAGTGAGAAACCGTAGTGCCCTTGAGGGGGATTTGATGACAGATTGATGAGATGAATATTGCTGGAGAACTAAATGATTAATTAAGGTGCGTGAATGAATAGATTCATTTCTTGAGAACAGAAAAAGCAAAAGTAATTGAAACTAATGGTGATGCTGGCACTGGTAAAGTGACATTCAGAGTGTCTAAAATCATGACCTGCAACCAAGAACATGGAAGTTCTGGTGCATGGAAGGGCTCTGTAGTTTAGAGCTCTACCTTTGCCCCAGGAACATGGAATGGAGTAAGATCCTCATCTGGTGTAAGTCACTGTAGCTTCTTGGAAGTCACTGGAGCGACTCTGATTTGTGCCAGTTGATGACTGGCCTGTGAGAGATGACTGGACTGGAGGGAAGCAAATCTGTAACCTTCATGTTGAAATATGAGTAACTTGGGAACTATTGATCTATTCAGCTAATGTCCATGCTGCACTTTCACTTTTGGTTTCCATCCTGTGATCAAGTGTTGTTGGCTGGTATAAAAGCAGGACAGCGGTTAGTCAGTTTCAGATGGGAAAAGTCCATATGAATTTAAGTAGAGGGTAGACATAGCTAATCAACTGGATTGAGCTGTTTGATCCAGTCTGAAAGCCCAAGTAAACAGCCTCATTCTTGTTCAGTCAATGACAGTGAATAGGAATGAAGCAGTTTATTTGGGTCAAAAGTAGACTTTTGATGCAATACCATCTAAATAATTATTACATAAGCTTAGCAAATGCAAACACTCAACAGATAAACAGCTGCCTCTGTAAGACCTCAATATAGCAAGGTTCTTAAGCACATGCCTAATTTTAAGCATTTAATTTAAGTAATCTCATTGACTGCACTTGACTATTGGGTTTTTAATTAGACATGAACCTAAGTACCTAATGAGAGGGGTGATCAATATCAAAAGATGAGGAAGGCTGTATTTAAAAAGTCCTAGAACAAACAAGGGAATTGATATATAAGTGACTTGTACTTATTTAATAGAAACAAGTAGAAAATAACAAAAGAGAAAGGAAAATGAACATTTAGTTAATTGTTATTACTATCTCCTGTGCTATTTTATATTTAATACATTGAAAGGGGTGGTATATTTTAGTTTAATTTTAAAAGTGGCTATGCACTTGTATTGTGTGACAGTCCCAGGGCAGATGGCTACAATAGTTTGGTGGCAGACATACCGGGAGCTGAATGAATGATTTTCTGTTTCCTGATTAAACTGCCAGACTGCTGCCATGTAATCAAGGCAGGCAGGCACCTGAGGCTAGTTAAGAGCTGCCTGATGCAGCAGGCCAATCAAGCACTGGCAGCCATTTAAAGCCTGCTGCAAAAGGTTTTCCCTCTGATAAGGTGGGGAAGGAGAAGAATGAAGGACTGAGAGAAGGAAGTGTGTTGATGAGAACTGAGAAAGGAAAGAGCATTTGTGCTGATGTAGGAAACATTTGCTTAATAGGAAGAAAGTATTAGAGGAGCATCTGGGGAAGTAGCTCAGGGAAAAGATTGCTGTATTGGGGCTAGAAGGAAAAACCTTCAATGTAGACGTAGCTAAAGGCTACGTCTACACTGGCGTGATCTTGCACCAGAGATATGCAAATGAGGCTAAGTGTGGAATATTGCCGAGCCTCATTTGCATATCTAATGAGCCGCCATTTTTGCGGAAGAGGCTGCCCTCCCCTGCCCATCTCTATGTGTGTGTCTCTTTTTCACATACACACCCCTTGGCTATGTCTACATAGGCATGATTTTGCACCAGAGATATGCAAATGAGGCTAAGCATGGAATATCTCCGGGCCTCATTTGCATATCTAATGAGCTGCCATTTTTGTGGAAGAGGCTCTTGAGCCAGAAGGAGCTGTCTACACTGCCCCTTCTTGCGCAAGAAAAACCCTCTTGCGCAATGCCGCTACGCTGATTATTTTCAGGAATAACGGCATCGCGCAAGAGGGTTTTTCTTGCGCAAGAAGGGGCAGTGTAGACAGCTCCTTCTGGCTCAAGAGCCTCTTCCACAAAAATGGCAGCTCATTAGATATGCAAATGAGGCCCGGAGATATTCCATGCTTAGCCTCATTTGCATATCTCTGGTGCAAAATCATGCCTATGTAGACATAGCCAAGGGGTGTGTATGTGAAAAAGAGACACACACATAGAGATGGGCAGGGGAGGGCTGTTATAAGACTTCATGTCTTAGGGTTTGTAAAACATTTTGAGATTGGTGGTTAATAAAAATGTTGTTTTATAGAGCACTTGCCATCCATAGCTCTCAAAGCCCTTCGCACAGGAGGCCAGTAACTCAGTTTCCATTTTACTGAGAAGGAAACTGAGGCAACAAGCACACACACATTTAAAAATCACTCATGAAAGTTACAAGGAAGCCAAAGGGTTACATGTCAAAGTGACCCAGCTTGGGTATCTTGGCTGGTCTTAAAATAGCCCCTTTATCTCAGAGTTTGCAGCCTATTTACATTAAATGCCATCCTGAAGGAATGTAAGGTCTGTTTCTTGACTGAGATAATTAGATCTTTGGCTTAGTGCACTGATGGTCTTCATGCATCCACAGGCACATACCACATGCATATCATTTAGCACCATAGTGATAGAAATGTAGCCGTGTTAGTCTGGGGTAGCTGAAGCAAAATGCAGGACAATGTAGCACTTTAAAGACTAACAAGATGGTTTATTAGATGATGAGCTTTCGTGAGCCAGACCCACTTCCTCAGATCAAATAGTGGAAGAAAATAGTCACAACCATATATACCAAAGGATACAATTAAAAAAAGTGAACACATATGAAAAGGACAAATCACATTTCAGAACAGAAGGGGAATGCAGGGGGGGGAGGGAGGAAGGAAGGTAAGGGGCTGTGAATTGATATTAGAGGTGGGGAGAGGGGGATGTTTGGGAGTTAATGGTATTAGAGGTGATAATTGGGGAAGCTATCTTGATAATGGGTAAGATAGTTCAAGTGTTTGTTCATTCCTTTTTGGAGAGTGTCGAATTTTAACATGAATGACAGTTCAGAGGATTCCCTTTCAAGTGCAGATGTAAAAGGTCTTTGTAGCAGAATGCAGGTGGTTAAGTCACTGAGAGAGTGTCCTTTCTGGTTAAAATGGCAAGAAACTGTTTTTTCTTTGTGATCTTGTCTGATATCTGTTTTGTGGGCATTAATCCTTTGGCGAAGTGTCTGAGATGTTTGTCCAATGTACATAGCAGATGGACACTTTCGGCACATGATAGCATAGATTATATTTCTGGATGCGCAGGAATATGTGTTCTTGAACTTATAACTCACTTGGTTAGGTCCAATAATGGTATCAGCAGAATGAATATGTGGACAAAGCACCAGGATCTCTTACAGACCAAAGCACTCCCATAGACCTTAGTCTGTCCTGCAAGCACACTTATCTTTCACTTTACTCAGCCCCTTTGCAATCAATGAGACTACTCACATGAGTAAAGTTACACATGGGTGTAAGCTTTTGCTTGGTCACCACCTCAGTGTAGACAGTCAGAACATGAGGAGTAGCAACTAAGGAAGGAAGGTAGAAGGAAATAGTCGAGCAAGGGCTACAGCGTGAAAATCATAAAATGGATTGTTGCAGATGCAGCATAGCTCGCTCCCCGTCAATTTTAGTTTTGCTGCTTGTCTGCAGAACTGTATAATTGCTGTATGTTTTTGTGGGCTGGATAGGAGGAGATCTCTCTCTAATCTAAACACTGGTTTGGGAGTCCTGAAGTCAGCTCTTATTTTGCCCATCAAAATTATTTAAGTTCCATCTTCCAGCTATGAGTCCTAGCCCTCCCTACCCACATACTCTCAGAACTTGATCTTTACTACGTTGTACCCATTTATGCTTCTGACAAATGTTGCTGAGGTCCATCTCTTGGTACACCACACATCCTTTGGGCATACGGATTCTGTAAACTACTGGGTTTTTTCAGCTGTCATTGAAGTCAATGAAAACTGTGGGTCCTTCTCTCTTTCCAAGAGAAGGCTAATTATCAGACTGGGCCAACATTATTTTCTTCAAGTCTGATTAAATACTGAACATGGAAGCCCTTGGTCATGGAAGGATCCCTGATATGTTCTGTAAGTATGAGCTGTTCACTGCACTCTCCTGCTCAGATTTCAGCACCTGAAATCACATGCAGCCTTGTCTAGCTTTTCTGCAGCTTCCACTGATTAGGATGCTGATCTACACTGCCTGCTTTAATCTGTTCCCTTGTGTTCCTGTGCCCGGGGGAAAACAGCTGACATGTTCTCCTGAGGTGGCCACATTTTGCAGTGGATCAAGTGATTCTCATCACTTGTCACGTGCTTTGGGATTTTGTGGGAAGAAAGGCTCTAAGTCTATCTAAATGTAAGATTACAGCAAAACCTGATTTGGACGCCATCTCACACAGAAGGCCTACATCTTAAGCAATCACTTCAAACACCCAAACAGCCTCAGTACTGCTTCCTTCAAACTACCGTGAAAACTGTAACTACCCCTGAATGTTAACTTGAGTCCTGCAGTGACTCATTTACACTCAATGTACAAAGTCTTTAAAACTGAGGTGAGAAGCATGTTGGCCTTCCTGCAAAAGCTTATACTATCTGGCTGCTCAGGGTGTGAAAGGCATTGGTGGTGGGAGACTCAATCCAGCTCCCAGTAGACTTATTCCTCATCACAAAATCTTAATGGGTACAGAGACAAGAGCTGGTCCCCTTTTCTGGTAATCTCAGCAGATAGGACAGTTAGAGGTAGAATGGTAAGAGGGTAGGACGCAAGCTAGGACTAGGGACAACTGCATTTAAGTCTCTGCTCTATGACAGAATTAGGAAAGTTACTTAGCCTCTGTTCCTGCTCTGTAAAATGACACCACCACTGCATGGGGTGTTGGGAGGCTAAATATACAAAAGACTGTGCAGTGCTCAGATAATATAATAACGAGTGCCATAGAAGTATTGCAGGCTGTTGTAGTATAAGGACACCCTACATCAATGGGAAAAGATCTTTTATTGATGTTGGCAATCCATTTCTCTAGGAGCCAGTAGCTGTACCTACACAGGGGAAGCAGTCACTCTGTGCACAGGGTGCAAAATTTTTCACATCCCTAAATAATGTAGCTGAAACAAAATACAGGACTATGTAGCACTTTAAAGACTAACAAGATGGTTTATTAGATGATGAGCTTTCGTGGGCCAGTCCCACTTCTTTCGTGGGACTTCCAAGTGGGTCTGGCCCACGAAAGCTCATCATCTAATTAAACCATCTTGTTAGTCTTTAAAGTGCTACATAGTCCTGTATTTTGTTTCAGCTACCCCAGACTAACACGGCTACATTTCTATCACTAAATAATGTAGCTAAGTCAATCTAAACTTTAGGGGCTACATCTACGTTGGTATGATTTTGCGCAAGAACTCTTTTGCGGAAGAGTTCTTGTGAAAAAACTCTTCCAGAAGAGAGCATCTACACTGGCGCAAGAGATGTGCTTTTGCGCAAAAGCATCCGTGCCAGTGTAGATGCTCTCTTGTGCAAGAAAGCTCTAATGGCCATTTTAGCCATCGGGCTTTCTTGCGCAAGAAATTCATGTTGCCTGTCTACACTGGCCTCTTGCGCAAGAACAGTTGCGCAAGAGGGCTTATTTCTGAGCGGGAGCATCATAGTTCTTGCGCAAGAAGCACTGAGTTTATACATTAGAACGTCAGTGTTCTTGTGCAAGAAATAGTGGCCAGTGTAGACAGGCAGCAAGTTTTGGCGCAAAAGTGGCTGCTTTTGCGGAAGATCGTGCCAATGTAGACACAGCCTAGGTGTCGACCAGGCCTCTTAAAATGAACTTTTCTTTTCCTCCTAGAGATCACACAGATGTAGGACTGAAATGGGCCTTGACAGGTCATCTAGTCCTATCGTACACACCTGTGGTGTCCAACACATTAGCCACTAGTCACATTTGGCCAGTTGAGTGTGGCTACAGTTGGCTTGAACAATGTGGCTATTTGGCCGGTTGAGTGTGGCTAGCTCGCTATAGCAGTAGCCACTATACAACAGACAGGTACAAAATGAAACAGGTGCACAGAAGATTGCAAGGTAAAGAATCTTTACTCAGCTGCAAACATTCTCCTTATAACAGTATTTTACAATCGCCCTCTCTGCAGACCTACGTTGCCAGATCTTCCCTTTCCACTTCTGAAGATCCTTAGAACAAACTCATTTTTTCTTCCAAAATTTTTTGTAATTATCCAAATTAAACTCATCATCCAGCTCTTTCTCCTGCTTGCTCTTGAACCATTTTGGATTGCGTTTCCGTAACCTAGCTCTTCTTTCAGCCTCTGAAAGGGTGTTGATGTCTACAGGCATCTGTGGAGGGGAACAAAAATGAATCATCAGTCAAAGGCATCTTATTAAAATACCCCAGTGTCCAATTGGGGAGAGAAATGGGACGTTTTTGTGGGGAGACTTTGCTGCTAAATAACAATCCCAACACACATTTTTTTAATAATATAATTCTCTTACTGACTGGTTCAGGGGCAGATGCAGAAGTTATTCTGCATTCATCTGTTATCTGGAGGATTTATTATGTAATTAGCAAAAGGTGATCAGAACATCCAACATCTAACCTTCCAAACAGGTGGAAGCTGGGCAATGGGAGAAGTACCATGGCAGGTAGAGGTTACGCTTATTGTTGTGCAAAACCAGGCTGAAAATACAGTGAGAGGAGAGAGTGGGGTTTTTTCAGTTAGGGAGATTGCAGAGCTATTTGCCCAATGCTTTTCTCCAGTCATAATTCCAGTTAAAAATGCAGACTGTAGCCCTGCACTTATCTACAGGAGCACTGGCTTCCTCTCACTCCAGCACCCCGCCAATACAGCCCCAGCTTGCCCTCAGTGCCCTCCTATTCAGCTCAGATGAACCACATCTATGCACACAAGGATAAGTCCATTAATGGAGAGAAAGTTAGCTAGATTTCTGGGCTCAACAGGTGGTGATCAATGTCTCGATGTCTAGTTGACAACCAATATCAAGTAGAATGCCCCAGAAATCAGTCCTGGGGCTGGTTTTGTTCAGCACTTTCATTAATGATCTGGATGATGGGATAAACTGCACCTTCAGCAAGTTCGTGAATAACAGTAAGATGGGGGGAGAGGTAGATACACTGGAGGGTAGGGTCTGGAGTGACCTAGAGACATTGGAAGATTGGGCCAAAAGAAATCTGATGAGGTTCAACAAGGACAAACGCAGAGTCCTGCACTTGGAAGGGAGGAATCCTAAGCACTGCTATAGGCTGGGGACTAACCGGCTAAGCAGCAGTTCTGCAGAAAAGGACCTGGGGACTACAGTGGATAAGGAGCTGGATATGACTCAACAGGGTGCCCTTGTAGCCAAGAAGCTAACAGCATATTGGGCTGCATTACATTAGTAGGAGCATTGCCAGCATTTTGAGGGAAGTGATTATTTCCCTCTATTTGGCACTGGTGAGGCCACATCTGGAATACTGTGTCCAGTTTTAGGTCCCGCACTACAGAAAGGATGTGGACAAACTGCAGAGTCCAGCGGAGGAAAATGATTAGAGGACTGGGACAATAACTTATGAGGAGAGGCTTACAGAATTGGGCTTATTTAGTCTACAGAAAAGAATGGGGGATGGGATTTGATAGCAGCCTCCAACTACCTGGAGGGGGTTTTTCCTTGGTAGCAGATGGCAGAACAAGAAGCAGTGGTTGCAAGTTACAGTAGGGGAGGTCTAGGTGAGATGTTAGAAAAAACTATTTCACTAGGAGGGTGAAGAAGCACTGGAATGGCTAGGGAGAGGGTGGAATCTTCATCCTTGGAAATTTGTAAGGTCAGGCTTGACAAAGCCCTGGGGTTTGTCCTGTTTAGAACGGAGGGTTGAACTGGAAGACCTCCTGAGGTCTCTACCAACCCTAATCTTCTATGGTATCAGTCTCTAAGTCATTCAATACTAGGCCAATAAGAGTCATTTGTGGTGGTGGGTTCTGTGCTTTGGATACCCACCCATGGGGAGCAGACCCAAACCCCTCTAAATTTGTACATAAGATTCATTAGGAGACAATGACTTTCAGTCTCTGGACTGGTTTTGTGCTCCTGACCCAGAGGTGAAAGGCCTTTTAATCCAATTACTACTCCAAGCCTGGCATACCTGTTCTTTTATTCAGTGACTTTCCAAGGGGCAAGGGGATTGGTTCCTAGAATCAGCCCATTCCCCACAAAAGGCTTGTATCTCAGAGACCTGTATCTCGGATACCTGTCTTCAGCCCCAGGAGGCTGAGGTCAACTGGAAGGGGGTGGGGGTGGGATGGGAGAATTGCCTTAGAACTGCCTGGCTTCTTAACTATAACCACTCTCAGGACATGGACAGGGCATTCACTACATTTCAGGGCAGGGGGCATTGCAGCTCCATATTTTTACAAATGGGTGAGGGGAAATAAAAAAATTCTGAAGATTAGCTCCCTCCAGCTTCTGTAATCCAGCCAGAGAAGAGAACACCCTGCATCATTCAGGCAAAGCCTGGAGTAGCGTTAACAGCCTCCAAATGGAGATGCACCATGTCCCCAATGGGCAGGAATTAATTAATGTCACTAGGCTGTCTAAAGGTGGAAGCCATGGGGGGAGCAACAGAGATGAAAATGGGATAAAGCTGAATACAACTTTCCAAAAATCCAGTGTGACTGCTAGTTAGTACTGCTTGTACACCTTCCTCAGGTGTTTACTATAGGGGCACTGGAACAGGCACCCCAACATAGTTCTGATATCCTGCCGAAAACACGGGTGGCTCTATCTTCTTGGAGGAAGTTAATTAGACTGCATGTTTCAGGGTATGGAGAGAATTCTGCCCCCTGGACAAATGGCAAAGTGCACCTGGAATTTCTTCACCTTTCTCTACAGCATCAGTGGTGCATCCAGTCTAATCTCCTGACCACAAATGGTCTGATCCAATATGGCAAATTGTATTTGCACATTAGTGGCCGATAGAGGTTGCTCCGAGGAAGTTGTAAGTCTACCTTCCCCCAAATTATGCACCTAATTGTGTAATACTCAACACAACCTCCATACCAGCAATTCTATTAGAAAATTAGCTTTTGTTCAATTCCTTACTGTAAGGATCCGCCTTGGCTCCTTATAGCGAATATGAATAGTAGATCCATCAGGCCTGACCAAGAGCACTGGGTAGGACCTTCCGTATGTCTGCCTCTGAATGCGGGCGATGGATATCCTGTTGGAGTCATGTTGGCTGAGAGATGTATGCAGATGGCACGTGATGGGAAGTAATCTAGACATGGCACCCTGACGCAAAAAACTGAAAGGAATTCAAACAGGGCAGAGTTAGTTATTCTTCCCCTCCATTCCATAGGGAGACATGAGGAAAAGGCAGTCCAGTCCAGTCGACTGATCAGGAAGGCACCAAATCATGGGCTAGAAATAGAAGAGATGTATACAGGCAGTCCCCGGGTTACGTACAAGATAGGGACTGTAGGTTTGTTCTTAAGTTGAATCTGTATGTAAGTCGGAACTGGCGTCCAGATTCAACCACTGCTGAAACTGATCAGTTTCAACAGCGGCTAAATCTGGACACAAGTTCTGACTTACATACAGATTCAACTTAAGAACCCCAGGCATCCCCAAGTCAGCTGCTGCTGAAACTGATCAGCGGCTGATTCCAGGAAGCCCCGGGATAGGGGCTTCCTGTAGTCA